ATAAAGCTATGGCTTTATCATTCTTTTAAAAAGGAAATTTTTCTACACTGCTGCATGCAGTAATTTCATTGTACATTCTAGACTACAATGCAATCTTCAAATCCTCTTGCAGAGCTTGACATATCTCATCAGAATTTCTCCAGAAAGTCAGCTTGCTTTATTTTCAGCAGCCTTAATTCAAATGCAATTTTTCTTGTCTCATTCCATTTTCATATTAATTTTGGAAGTCCTCCTCCAATACACAGTGAAACACGTATTTTCACCTTTAGTGCTTCAGTTGCCCTGTGAAGCTCCCTAATAACCAGTGATAAAGCTTAATTCCTTGTTCTCAAAGCCGTACACAAAGAGACAGAGTTTCCATAACTAAGCTAGTATTCAAAATTCTTGAAATCTCAAGCAGAACGTGTGACTAATACAGGTTGAACACTCCTAATCCCAAAATCTGAAAAGTAAAATGCTCCAAAATCTGAAACTTTTTAAGCACCCACATGACATCACAGTGGAAAATTCCACACCTCATATGCTGGATCAAACTCAAAATGCAGGTGCACAACACAGTTTATTCAGCATCCCGTCCATGGTCTCCCGAACTGCATTCAGACTCGTGCCCCTGCTACTCACCATGGCTGAGGCTGAGGGAGACCTGTTTTTTTTTTTAAAGCAGAAAAAGATACATTGACTTTTTTCAAGGCCTCTTAGAAGTCCCTGACTCTGAAAATTATTTGAGAGAAATCTATTTTAAATAGTGCCAGAAGGTGGCGTATTTCCTAGCATTTGTTTCAAGCTGAGAAAAATCAGAGCCAGTGATGAATATATGAAAATAAGAAATGGCTACCTTTTATCTCTCTCTTTCCCTTTCTTTCTTTCTCCTTCCTTCCTTCCTTCCTTCCTTCCTTCCTTCCTTCCTTCCTTCCTTCCTTCCTTCCTTCCTTCCTTCCTTCTTTCCTTCTTTCTTTTTTTCTTTTTTGAGACAGGGTCTCATTCTGTCACCCAGGCTGGAGTGCAGAGGTATGATCATGGCTCACTGCAGCCTAGAGCTCCCAGGCTCAAGTGATCCTCCCACCTCAGCCTCCAGGATAGCTGGGACTACAGGCACGTGCCACCATGCCTGGTCAATTTTTGTATTTTTTGAAGAGACAGGGTCCTGGACTCAAGTGATAGGCCCACCTCAGCCTCCCAAAGTGCTGGAATTACAAGTGCCACAGTGCCCAGCCTGCCTTTTCTTATTTATAAGAATACAAATAGAGAAATCTTTGTCATTTCCTTTTCTTCCCAGCAAGAGTTTGAATTTTGTATTAAATAGCTAAAGAATTCCTAATTTTACTCTTTTTATAGTAAAATTTATCTGATTAAAATTCCAACACATTGCCAATCTTCACATCATGGGATGTCTCAAGAGCTGTGGTCAAACACCTAAACCCCAGGGGACCAGAAAGCCACGTGCATCTTCATAGTGTGCTACCAGTCATAGGATGTCATGGCTTGTGTGCTTGGATTTTAAGTTGCTTCAGTGCTTCTCAAAATTTCCCAGATGGGACCAGAGATTTCAACTTAGCCTGGAACCAGTATCTACAGCCACCCTGTCTGGCTCCCCAGAGAATGTCCAGGGTTGTGGAAGACCTGGTTCTCTGCTTCTCTGCATGTGGCTTTCTGGTCCCCTGGGGTTTAGGTGCTTTCTGGTCTCCTGGGGATTAAGTGCTTGACCACAGCTCTTGAGACATCACATGATGTGAAGACTGGCAATGGGTTGGAATTTTAATCAGATATATTTTACTATGAAAAAAAGTAAAATTAGGAATTCTTTTTTATTTTTATTTTTATTTTTTCCCATTTATTTTATTGCATTTTAGGTTTGGGGGTACATGTGAAGAACATGCAAGATTGCTGCATAGGTACACACGTGGCAGTGTGATTTGCTGCCTTCCTCCCCATCACCTACATCTGGCATCTCTTCTTTAGCTCTTTAATACAAAATTCAAACTCTCACTAAGGAGAAAAAGAAACGACAAAGATCTGTATGGAATTTGCATATTCTCCCCATGTCTGTGTGGATTTTCTCCAGGTACTCCAGTTTCCTCCCACATTCCAAAAATGTGCATGTGAGCTGACCTGGCATGTCTACATGGTCCCAGTGTGAGTGAGTGCTGTGAGTGCGAGTGCGCCCTGACATGGATGGTGGCCTGTCCAGGGTGGGTTCGTGCCTTGCGTCCTGAGCTGCCAGGGGAGGCTCCTGCCACTCATCACACTGAACTGGAATAATTGGGGAATTAATTATCTTACTCGTTGTTATCGGTCTTTCTTAAATGTGTATGTGGCTTACATTTATTTCAGAGTTTAGTATTAGAAGTGTTTGATCTTTATTTAATAGTTTGGTGATATTTTTGTGACCAGAAATGAACAATTAACTCTTGTTCATTTCAACTAGCCTATTGTAAAGTTAATTTCCTTATACATCCTTTTGCTTAAAGTGGCAGTTTCCAAGAATCTGTCGATGACATTAAGTGAAGACTTACTATCTCAATAAATTTCAACATATGTGTCTTAGTCAGCTTGGGCTGCCATAACAATAAAACATAGACTGGGTCAGGCATGGTAGCTCACATCTGTAATCCCAGGATTTTAGGAGGCTGGGAGTTTGAGATCAGCCTAGTAAACATAGAGAGACCCCATCTCTATTAAAAAAAAAAAAAAAAAAAAAAAAAAAACCAAATTAATAAAAAAAAAAAAAAAAAAAAAAAAAAAGAGTGGGTGGCCTAAACAACAGAAGTGTGTTTCTCAGCCTCTTGGGAGGCCGGGAAGTCTAAGATCAAGGCGGCAACAAGGTAGGTTTCAGTTGGATATCTCTACTCTTGGCTTGTAGGCGGCCACTATCTCACAGTGTACTCACATAACCTCTTCTTTATTAGAGCAGGGAGAGTGAGCAAGATCTCTGGTATCTCTTTTTAGGAAGGCACTAATCCTATTCTGTCAGAGCTCTACCCTTATGACTTCATGTAACCTTAATCATGTTAAAGGCCCTGTGTCTGATAGAGTCTCATGTATTGGAGGGGTTAAGGCTTCAATATATGAATTTTAAAAATAAATATTAGCAATATGAACATGATTATGAATATAAACAATTCAGTCCATAGCAGTAAGACTAATTTTTTAAGGAGAATAAAGCTATATACATATATGTATATTTTTTACTTAAGTTATATAACTCAATACACAAATCAAAATAAAGAATTAAAGAACATTTCAGATAATTTAGGAGAATGATGTAATGTAGATCCTTTGCAACTTTTCCCTTACTGGAACATAAGTTCCATGTGGGCAAAGGTTTTTGTCTTTTCTGTTCATTGCTAAATTCTCATCCCTAGAACAGTGAATAGCTCATAGCTGATGTTCAGTATTTATTGAACACATGATTGAATGTTTTCTTTCCTTTTTTGGAGCAAGGAGGCCCTGTATCAGAGCTTAGGAGCCACAGATCATTAAGACAGATTGCCTTAATTGAATCTTGGCTCTATCACTTACTGTTTTTTACCTTGAACAAGTTACTTTAGCTCTCTGTGCCCCAGTTTTCTCCTCTACAAAATGAGCATTTTAAGGTTGTAAGAATTAAATGAATTAATAGGGTAAAACCATTTAGAACAGTATTTAATACATAGTACATAGAAGTAGGTAACTTGAAGTTGGTTATAAATGTTAGATATTATTTTGCATATTCTCCTTTCTATGTATGTGATTATAATCCAAGAAAATATTCTGTAAAGTCAGTAATATGGGACATTTTTTGCCTTTTCTTTCAGGAAGAAAAATTGAGGCATGGAGATAGAAAGACTGTAAATGTGATAGCCAAGGGCAGGATCCCACTGGATTAGTCAAAGTAGGACAACATGCTTGCGTTTTCCTGAGATTGTTTATTAACTGGAGTTTTCATTCTTCACTTAATCAGTGGTTCGTAAGCTATGAATCTAGGTTGAGCCCCTATATTCCCTATGTGCAAGCAACATTATAAAATCTCTAACGTGGAAATATACAGTCACCTAATTTTTGGATCCTGTTATTATTATTATTATTATTTTGAGACGGAGTTTCCCCCTTGTTGCCCAGGCAGGAGTGCAATGGCGCGATCACCACTCACTGCAACCTCCGGCTCCCGGGTTCAAGCGATTCTCCTACGTCAGCCTCCCTAGTAGCTGGGGTTACAGGTGCCCCCCACCATGCCCGGTTAATTTTTACTAGAGAGGGTTTTCTCCATGTTGGTCAGGTTGGTCTCAAACTTCTTACCTCAGGTTATCCGCCTGCCTCGGCCTCCCAAGATGGGTTTACAGGTTTGAGCCACCGCGCCCGGCCCTGTTACTACTTTTAAAATACAAATTTGGCCGGGCACGGTGGCTCACGCCTGTAAACCCAGCACTTTGGGAGGCCAAGGCGGGTGGATCACGAGGTCAAGAGATCGAAACCATCCTGGGCAACATGGTGAAACCC